ATATGTTTATATCTCAAAGACCGTCAGTGGAATCATCCCACATGGTCATAAGACTCCAGAAGACCCTGGAGGGTGGGGTGGGGAGGGAGGGGAGAGCATCTTCCCACCTGAAGTCAGCATCCAGGCTTTCTTCAGAAGCCACCCAGGGCCCTATCGTTGTGTTCGTGATCAAAACCACTCGAATTTCTCTTTCCTGGAGCAGCCCCTCATGGATAATTCATCCCATCTGCTCCCTGCTCTCGCCATTTATTCCCACGGCTATGCTCCAGCCTCGTCTTGGCCCCAAAGGGCTCCACCTCAACCCTGAGTAGCAGGACTCTGCTCTCTGGCCACTACGGAGACTCTCCAGCTCCCACAGCCTCTCCCCACCCTCTGGCTCTGAGCACCCTGAGCACAGCTCCTGCCTATGTTGTGCTCAGTCGAGGGGGGCCCCTGCACTGTCATTTCTAATGGACCCCTGCCACCCTTCCCTCGGTCTTCTTCAGTCTCTCTGGGCCTCCACCAGTCTCCACTGGCCTCCTCTAGCCTCCACGGGCCTCCTCACCTCCCTAAGAGTCAAAATGAGCTGGTCTCCTAGTGCTCCAGGACAAGGCCACCCTTACCCTGACCCACACACCACTGTGGCAGGGCAGGGGAGGGGTGGCTCGGGACCTTGGGTGGTCATGGCCAGACTCCTCCCCTGCAGACCTTCCAGCTCCACCATCAGTTTCTGCCCTCAGATAACCAGCAGGACCCCCGCCCTCACTGGGTCTTCAGCCCCACTGTCTTAGACGGGGCTGCTGAGACCACATGCTATAGAGTAGGTGACTTGGAAACCCCTGGGATTGACTTCTCACAGCTCTGGAGGCCGGAGATCAGGGTGAGGTTCTGGAGAGACTCCTGCAGGCCACACTGCAGCCTCTCACTGGGTCCACACATGGTACAAAGAGAGCCAGGGGACTCTCTGGGGGCTCTTTCACCAAGGACCTAATCCCACTCCCAAGGGCCCCACCCTCATGACCTCGTCACCTCCCAGAGGGCCCACCTCCTCACCATCACTTTGCAGATGAGGAGTTCAATGAGTGAATTTCGAGGGGACACAGCCCTTGAATCCATTGCACACACAGGAACCCACCACTCCCAGAAGCCCCTCACCCCCCATCATCACCAACAGCTCTGCTCCTCCTCCTGTGGCCCCAGCTTCCTGGCCAGCTTCTCACATCTTCCCACGGTGGCCCTTGGACTTCCCAGCCAGGCACCCATGGAATCGCACATCCCCTCAGTCTCTGCTCTGGGCTCCTGTTACTCTTCCTCTGAACGAAACCCTGCCCTTCTCTGTGCTCCCCTCGCCTCCGCCACAACCAGGTGAGCACTTTTCCTTCCTGAGCGCCACATATAACCGACCTGAGTGTGGTAGGAATTGCTCTTCACTCTGTCACTACTTCCAGAACTTTCTCTCTCCTTCCTTCCTCGTCACAAGACTGCACACTTCTCATTACTAAGAGTGGCCTTGTCCTCCCTCTCAGGGTCTCTGTCACCACCCTTGCTCAGTCTCCAGTTAAACTCTTCTTGCTCCCAATCCACCTCCCCATGCCTTAGCCATTCACCGTGAACCCTGGAAACGGGCTGGCCCCACAGTCGCAGGCTCAACAAGCACAAGAAAATGCTATGACGCAGCATGAAAGCCCTTGCTAGGTGCCATCCCTGGACTTCCACGCCCTTGGACTTCCCAACCTCCAGGACTTCTTCACCCAGTTTGGGGTATAATGTTGTCACAACAGAAAACGAACTAAGACACTGAGCGTAGCTGGACAATAGGAGACCATGCACCACACCAACCGGGCTGACTTCAACTCCATGCCCAAGAGGGTCCTCGCAGCTGTCCCCTCTGTTCCCCCTCTCCTGGACACTGCTTCCCAGGGGTGCCTCCTCCTGCATCTCGGTGTCTACTTGACTGAGAGTACAGAAGCAACGAGGAGGGGCCCCTCCTCAGCTGAGCTCTGTGCCACTTCCCTCGAACGCCTGGAAAGCTCTTCCCTGCCCCTTCCCCAGCACATCCTGCTGGTCCTTCCATCTTCCTCCACTGTCTATCTCATGGAGGCCTAGCCTCCTCCCCAGACACATGGTCCCCCCAGCTGCACTCCAGGGTGCAGGACTTCCATTAGGGTATCTGTCACATCACAAGCCAAGTCCCTTCACCTGCCTGTATCACTGGGGGATGCTAAGCCCCCTGAGGGCAGGAAGCAACCTTTCTTTTCTGCCTCCCGGCAGCACATGACACCCGCGTGTGGGATGAACCAAGTCTCAGTTTCTTTTCTTCCTTTTAAACTCTCCTCTCAACCTTCCTTCATCTGGGTCCTTATGGATTCGGTGACGTGTTCATTCAATCAAGAATCTAAGGCACCTGCCATGTGGGAGTCACAATGCTAGATCCTGGGGACATTAAGATGAATCAAAGGCAGTCAGTACTTGCCATCAAGGAGTCAGAGGGGAACCAAGATGCACCTAGTAGTAGCAAATCTGTGAATGTGGGTATTATGGGATGGGGGGAGGCCACAGGCCCAGGAAAGAGGCAGTGAGAAGCCAGGAGGGGATCAGCCATGCTGCTCATTATCTGAAACCTGGGGTCAACACAGACACCTGGGAACGAGGTCGGAACAAAGCTCACTGTTCTAGGGACCAGGAACAGAGACTATGGAGGAACAGGGGCCCCATGGGCAGGCCCTGGAGTAAAAGGAAACAGGCTGAAGGGAGATCTTCCATGGACAAAGGGCCACATGTATTCCACGTTGGAAGGACTTGCTGTCGAATTATCCATGTCATCCTCACAATAAGCCAGAGTTGGTGCGTTGACAGCCTGATCTATAGAGTGGGGAAGCCGAGGCTGGGAGCTTCATTGAGGCTTCACAGCTTGCCAGAGCCTCGCCCAGCTGTCCAGCTCTGAGGACTGGGCTTTTTGCTCCCATGCAATATCATCCACAATGGAGACAGCAAGACTGATAGCAGTCAGGTGCCTGAGGCCAGTGAGGCTGCCTGGGGTCTGCACCAAGGACGCAGCACCACACTGAAATCCTTCCCACTGGGTCACCTGTCAGTAGCCTTGCACCTGAGCCAACTTTGTGTGGGTCTGCAGAGGGAGGGAGGAGAAGGAGCAGGACATAGTGAAATGATAGACATCGGGAGCCTGTCTTGGGCCACCTGGCATCCCTGACTACATAGCCAGTGGGTGACACCAGCAGGGACCCTGGAAACATTCTGTTGAACAAATGAAGGATGGAGAAATGAATGAATGAACAAGCAAGGGAATGGAGGGCGGGAAGCATGAGAGCGAGACTAGGGCAGAAATGGTGATGTGATACAGAATAACCACGATCCCAAACCACCTCCCCTCTTCCCAGGCATCTAACGCCCACCTGTGGCCCACTTGGGTGTCCTCCAAGATTGCCCACTCCAGAGCACACCAAGCTAACGGGAACGAGGTAGGAACAAAGCTCACACCAGCCCCGCTGCCCCCACACCACATGGGGGACAGTGTAGGTTAGGGGCTCGAGGTCCAGGCAAAGGCAGACAGGAGAGGCTCCTGCCTGTGTCCATCTACGGGAAGGCGGCCCTTGGGAGATTTATGATCCTCTCCTCTTCCCTGACACCTCTGGGAGACCCCAGCCTCCACGTGGGGACAATGAGACCCAACCTTCAGCCTTTCAGGGAGCAGACCTTGAGAAGGACCCTCACAGCAAATGACCTCCAGTCAGAGAAAAGACCCACACCATGGAGCCCTCTGGACCCAGAGTATTTCCTACAGAACCTCCTCGTTATGGTTTGGATATGAGGTGTCCCCCAAAGGCTGCCATTAATGCTGGAATATTCAGAGATGGAATGATTAGATTATGAGAGCTCTAACCCAATTAGTCCATCGTCGTTTGAATGGACTGATGGGGTGATAACTGTAGGCAGGAGGGTATGGCTGGAAGAGGTGGGTCACTGGGAGTGACTGTCCCTGAAAGGGTGCCTCCTCCTGTGGCTCCTGCTTTCTGGCTGGCATGAGGGAGCAGCTTCCTTCCAATGGGCCCTTCTGCCATGATGTTCTGCCTCATGTAACACCCAGAGCAATAGTCAGCTGTCTATGGACCGAGTCTCTGAAAACACGAACCCCCCCCCCCCATAAACTTGCCTCCTTTAAGTTGTTGTCCAGTCCTTTAGTCACAATGACACAAAAGCTAATTAAAATACTAGTATTTATTGGGAAAAGGACAAAAGTATGTGCTTAATTTCCTGAGCAACAAGTCCTCGTGGGAAGCCGGGCTCTTCTCTCCTCACCATGCTGCTCCCATTGTGGAGGGATGGCCCATCAGGCAGCAGAGGCCAGGAGGCCGCCTGGCCACCAAGTGAACCCCCTTCCCTTCTCCTGCTCCAGGGCCCAATTCTCCAACCTGCAGAGAGCGGTGGCCTTTGAGGAGGCCCTAGGCAGACCCTCCCAGGAAATCCACTCCCACCCTTGGGCCTCCGCCCGCAGCCGTCAGCCATGCCAAATGAGGCAGGGAGATTTGATGGATGGGGAGGTGGATGCCGCGCTCCCCTAGGAGAACAGTTTAATTTTATGGGGAAGGAACACAGGAACGGGGAGCCCCTGGGCCCAGCAAGCAGCCCGGCTGCAGGCGTCCAGCCGCCGCCAGGAGCATGTGCAACTCATTACCTCGGCCAGTTTCCCATCTGCGGCCACGATGACGCCACGGGAGTGGAGGAGGGGCAGAGGCCATGGCGAGCAGGACTGCAATATTTTTCTGACACTAACACCTCTCTCTGGCCCTTGGAAAGTGCCTCCGAGAAGCCAGGCCCAGCCAGGCACCACCCACTCCCAGGCCAGGCTTCCTCAGCTTCATGGCGCCAGACTGAAGAGGTCCCCAGTCCCCAGTTGTTACAGCAGAGGGGAGGGGGACACAGAGGCATGAAGGGGAAGGTGAGGAGAGGGAGAGGAGGAGCAGGAAGAGAGGGAAGAGGAAGCAGGCCACACTGGCCCGTGTCCATCCGCTGGGTTTCCGGTCAGAGGGAGGGTAGGAGCTCCAGCCAGAGAGGGCATGGGTGAAGCGCCTTCAAGACGCCCTCTGGGACTGGCCCTGCCAAGCAGGCCTGGCACCACAGGTGGCCCTCTGGCATTGCCTGGGAGCTACCAGGTAAGAGGGACTGTCCCTGCCTGTTAGGCCTTTGCATGAGCAGTGGGCTCCAAGGAGGAGGCCAGGTAGCCAGAGCTGGGCATGGAGGCCTCTGGAGGTCATCCCTCGACAGGTCACAGACCCTCCCTTCCCTTCTAACCTGATAAGTGAATAAAAGGGATGGGATGAAGGCAGGGAGGCAGAAGAGAGGAGGGGAAGAGGTGGGGGGCGGGAAGAGGGGGAGGAATGCAGAGGTCAGTGCAGTGAAGAAGTAGATGTGACAGCAGGAGCCACTCCCTGGGGGAGGGTCCCTTCCTGTGCACTGAGGGAGCCAGCCCAGCCTGCAGCAGGAGGCTGCTCCCCAGGACCTCCTCTCCCCCTCTTTCCTGCCCCCACCCCTGGTTGCTTGGGGGAACTTTTTTCACTCTCTGGGGTTTCTGCTCCAGATCCTAAAATAAGCACTTCTCAGCCCTTCAGCTCCCCAGGAAGTGCGGCCTCCTCCCTTGGGAGCCACCTGGTACCCCTTTAGGAGGAGGTGACCAGGTAAGGATCAGTGGGGTCTGGCTGGTCCTGCCTGGGAATGTGTCCTCCAGAGAACTCCTGCCCAGGACTTCTCAGGGGCAGAGGGGAGCTAGCCAGCTGCAGGTCCCGGCCACACCCCTGAGCTTAGCAGCTGGGCGTGGGCAGATAGTGCTTTAACCCCCCCCCTCTTCCCGGCTGCTCCAAGTCTGCTCCCCGACAGGGTCTGAACCCAGCAGTGAGAGGAGTTACCTCTCAGGGGCATCAGCCCCACCGCCTCCTTGGAATTCCTTTCCTAGGAGGGAACCTGGAAAGAAGATCCCAGTCAGGTTTCAGCCCTGCCATTAACCCCTTGGTGACCTTGGACAAGTCGTATAGTCAGTCTCCAAGATCTCCTGATGCAGAGACTGCAGAGGACAGCCAATCCCCTTCCCTGGATTCAAGAGTCTATCAAGGATGAACAACCAACCCCCTACAGTAGGACTGCACAGAGCAGGAAAGCTCCCCCCCCCCCCCCCCCCCCCGCCCCAAACACAGCAGCAACACAGAGCGTTTCAGGCACCTTGGATGTTAGAACTCTGGGCCCTGCGCAGGCACGAGCTGGGGACTGTGATCCACAGGGTCTGGTGTGAGACTTGGGAGGGTTCTAACAGGTAGAGAAGATGGGGTGGGGAAACAGGCTTCCCAGGAGGATGGCACCAAGGCCCAGAGCAGGAAGGACAGACAGACCCCATGGATTCACATTGAGGGTGACATGTTGGGGGTGGGAAGAGCAGACCTGGGGACCAAGGGGCCAAGATAGAGCCTGGAAACCTTGCTGGTTAGAGAGGGGGCCACCAGGGAGCAACCCCCACTGGATAAGATGAGCTTACACCTGGCCAACTTGAAGGTCCGTGGGCATTGAGGTCTGAGTCACACCTAATAGCTGGCCCCCATTTTGAGGACCTTCTTTCCCGGTGCCAAGACCCCAGAGCCCGCTTCCAACAGGAGGAAGTAGTGCCCACTCCTCCTCCCTCTCAAAGACACCACTTTGATTCACTTAAGGCCCATGGAGGTGGCCCTGGCCCAGGCCTCCCTTCCGTTTCCCTTCTCTTTCCACCTTCCTCTTTCTCCCCGGCCTGGCCCCACCCCTTCCTCTCCCTCTCTGTTCTACTTTCCAGAGTTGATCCAGAAGCAATGAAATTCTTCAGAAACAGACCCAATCTGGCTTGAATTTCCTCAGGCTCTCCATCTTCCTCTTAGGAAGATGAGAGGGAGGAGGAATCAGCCAGGATCCCAGGAGTTTTCAGAAGCCGGTTTCAACCCAACATGGCTCTATTTGGCTTCTCACACCACCACCCACCACCCACCACTGTTTTCAGGCATGGAATTTTGGAACTGGAAGGGACCTGAAATATCCCCTGCAGCCCTATTTGGCAGATGAGGACACTGAGTTCCACAGATGTGATGGAGGCAGTCTGGGCCTCACAGCTTCCAGCCTCTACTGTCTGCACCTCACCAGGAGCCAGGCCTCCGGGGACCCTGTGTGCACAGGACCCTCTCAGTATGGATCTAAAACTGCCCTCTGACAAACCTGCCCACAGCTGGGGACCTGGCCAGCACAACATTTACCCCTTCTGGTCCAAATGAACTTTCTTGATCTGGACCAGAAAAGCCAAGAGTGGGATGAGGTAAGGGAGAGAGGATAGGATGGTCCTGGTGACATTGCCCCACCCCATGCCTCTCGCACTGCTGTGGCCCCTAGGCACCCCAACCTGGTGCTGATCATTGCTTCCAATCACCCCACTGTGCTGTACCCTAGTTCCTTCCGGCTAAACCAGGCCTCTTTCCTAGGTGCCAGTGGGGACAGAGGAGGATCAACATCACCTTTGCTGATGTGCAGAGCAGGGCCAGGCCCCCAGGGCCTTTCCTCTCTTCCCAGGCACAAGGACTCTAACAACAGAAGCTCTAGTTCAGCCCAGGGAACAAGCTGGTAGGCCTTTTTCCAACGTCTCATAAAATCTTTTCCAGTCTTCAAGTCCATATATTTCGACCCAGTTCACCTTTGGGGGAATTGTTCCCACGACAGCTTCTCTGATTTCTCTTCAGAGGCTCCCTGGTACCTAGCACATCACCCGACACATCGAAGGTCCTCAAAATATGTGTAAGTACCGAATTCCAGAGGAACAGCTACGTGCAAGAGTGGACGGTTCTTCACAAGGGTAGGCTGAGGAAGTGGTTGGTCAGAAGCCCCAGTGTCCTTGTCCCCTCTTCCTGCTGGGACTGTCCCCACTCCCTGCCTCGCTGAGCCACCCCACTTCCCTCCCACATCAGCCCCTTACGGGAGGAAAGAGGGCCTTGGAGGAAGAGGAGTCATTTCTTTTGAGTAATTTCAGGACAAAAATCTTGTCAGAGTCGTGCAAAGCAAAGCGCGATCGTGGGGGTCTCAGGAAGACCCTGCACATGAAGGGCTGGCTCTCCCTGGTGGTCTGCAAGACGCACTCCATCCTCTTTGAAGTGGATGCTCCCCTCCTGCACATGCTTTAGTGAGGATGGATTCGCCCATGCAGTCAGCATTTATTAAACACCTTTAGTATCCAGCTCCATGCTGGTGCACCAGGACCAGGTGCTGGGAAAGAGCTCAGGGACCCCTTGGATAAGCTGCACCCACTGAACCTCCAGAATTTTAGCAAACACCCAACCTCAAGATGCAGTGCCTTTCAGCATGACCAGAGCCTTCTCCCTTCACAAATGTGTCAGGAAATGGAAAGGAGGCTCCTCCTCATCCTGAAAGGGTGAGGGCCGGCTGACTTAGATATCCTGGTCTGACCCCAGCCTTACTCTGTGAGAGGCAAAAGGACTGGCCCAGGAGCGAGGAACCTCTCCATGATGGCATCAAGTGTGGGATCAAGTTGTTCTCAGCCTCAACTAGCCCATTAGTAAAGTGGGTACCCATCTTGCTAAGCACACAGGTTTGCTGAGATGAATGAATGAGAAAACACATGGAAAGATCTTTCAAGGACTGAAACTCAACATAGGCAGAATTAGACTGGAGATCACCAGTGCCCTGGGTAATGCCAAGGTCAGGTGGGGGGCAGGGATCCTTCCCAACCCAGAGAAGACTATGCACCCCAAGACGCAGCTAGGAGCACTTACCATCCTCACACAGGTTCAGCTTGGACAGGCTCCTGCCATCGAAGGGCTCCTCAAAGATGGAGCCGGTGTCTCTGTCGCTCACGGTGTGCAGATACATGGCCTTGTTCTCCATCACGTCCTGCAGCCACAGGGATGGCAGGTGGGGCAGGGTGGGGGGGCAGGGGAGAGAGACACAGTCAACTACAGGTGGGAACAGGAACAAAGGGACAGACCAAGGGGCCACATAAGTGGCCCTGGACCAGAACCCAGGGATCATCTCCCTATCAACAGGAGCCAGCAGCCACCCCCAGGTCCTCTCCCTGAGTGCTCGGTGCTTGGGAAGACCAAGGCACTGGGTCTTTCTGGTTGTGGAGCCTGACACTTCCATCAACAGCTCTTGGTGGGGCTGGAGCCCTGGGCTGGGGGCACCTTGGCCACCTGGGTAAGCCCTGAGGGATCTGAACTGGCTACCCACAAGGTGACCAGGGAGCAGCTCTGAGATGTCTGGAAGCCTGGGTGTGTCAGAGAGACCTGGGCTGTATTGTGAGTTGGGAATGAGGGACTCACGGGGGTGTCCAGGATACAAGGCCACCAGCTAACACAACCGAGGAAGAAAGAATTACTCCAAATCCTTGGGGGACCACAGCAGGGCCTCAATGGAGGCCCCAGAGGCATAGAGATGGAGCAGCCTTAGACCAAGGCAGGGATCCTGCCTCGATGTCCCTGAGCCCGACCCTCTGGTCCTTGGGTCTAGTGTTCCAGGGATGTCCCCACTGACTTGGGAAATCCTCTGTCACTTATGATGAACAAACTGATTTGCACAACAGTGTGTGCATTTGGTAATGCACCTGGGCAACAGAGGATGTGCTCAAAGGCGGCTGGTTGGCTCTGGTGAGGCTCTGGCATGGCAGGACTTTGGGAGGGACTGTGGGGATCGGGTACTTCTTTTTGCTTGTAGATTTTCTGAGTTTTCTATGATGCATTTACATTCTTTGTGTATCACAAAAAATCCCTTTTTTAAAGCCAATTTACAAATTATTTACGTAAAATACTTCATATTCCTTTTCTCACATATGTGCTCAGTGATCTAACAAACTGTGCTTCATTCTTACAGTTTTAGTCAGTCATAAGTTTATGTCAACCTTGTTTCTGATGCTTTTTGACTTCTGGATATTTAACATGCCCCCAGGAACATGGGGTTCCAGGTCTAGAAAGGAGCATACTCAACTGGAAGCCAGAGGAGCTGAGCAGCATCTCTGGGCCAGGAGAGGCAGGTGCCTGCCGGGGATTAGAGGGAGCAAGGCCATGGATCACAGGACCAGTGGGCTCCTCTTCAGAGGCAGAGGCCAAAGGAGGCATTGCCCTTGCTCCGTCATGAGGGGTAATGAGGGGGAGGCGGGCCTCAAGCAAAACGCCAATGCCGTTTTCATGACTTGAACTTGGTCTCCAGAGACCTCTGGCTTTGAGACTGAGAAGAGGCCAGAACTGACCATTTACTGCTCAACTGTCCTTCAGATGACCCAGGAAGATAGGACTTCTGCTCTTATCTCTAAAGTAATGAGACTCCACAACCCTTGCACGTGGGCTCACACACACACACACACTGTGTACACACAGGCACACACAAAATCATGTGCACCCAGTCTCTGCAGCCTTCCCTCCAATCCGTGGGAGGGACAGAAGAGCAGGGAGGTCCATTGTCCACCAGGATCCCTCCTGCCCCACCAGCTCCCACCCAGCTTCTCTGTGCCTTCCCCCCGGGGTATCTAGTCTGCTAGCCTCCTAATACACGCCCTCTGTCCAAGGCCTCCACCCAGTGAGGGCCTCTAGGTGGGGCCAGGGTGCTCTGTCACTGCTCAGCTGCAGGGGAGCCTCCCTTGTTTCACGAGCTCAGTGTGCGGCACCCCTCCCTCTGGCCCCGCTCCTGGGGAGCTGCAAACAGAGGCCAGCATCTCCTCTGCCTCGCTAACCCTCACTCTGCCAAAGGCAACAGAGCCCGCAGCCAGAGTGGACAGGACATGGCCCCTGCGGATGGGGTGCAGAGCCCCAGCTTCATTCCACTGTCCTCCTCTCCTGGTCAGCCCCCGGCCAGCGCAGGCCCATTATCTGGAATGTATCTGCCGGGCGGCCCCTCCTCGGCCTCCTCCCTGCCCCTCAGCTGGTCAGTGCAGCAGCCCAGGGGACCCTTCTGGGAGAGGGGCTAGGGCCAGATGTGAGTGAGATGCGTTTGGAAACCTCAGCTGTTCGTTACTTGGAAATGAAACATACGCCCGTTCTGCCGGCCCCGGTTTTATTAGGGGCTGCTTTTTCGTTCTTGGGGAGCGGGGGCATTTGGACCCTTAGATCTTGAGTCTTATCACCCTCGGGCTGTTTGTGCTCCCAGGCAGGACGGGCTGACTGGTGAGGTGTGGCAAACTGCTGGCACACGCATAAACACGCCCCACAGGGTGCAGAGCGCTGACCCTCCAGGGTCTCCCTGTGAGCTCCTTCCGGGAGCACTGTGCCTTTTTATCCCATCTCTCCCATTTTAAAGATAAGCCAACCAAGACCGCAGAGGCAAGAACTAATATATGTCAGAGTGGAAGGGTGCCGGCTGGACAGGGGCTTCCCACACAGGGCACTGGCTCAGCCACCGGGTTGCTGTGTCCAGAATGCATGGGTGCCTGCCTTCAGAGTCCCAGACCAGGCAGTCAGAGTCAGTGCGCCCCAAGAGGTGGAGGCTGGGTGGAGAGAGACTCAGAGCCAGAGAGGAACACCCATGCAGGATGCCAAAGCCAAAGGGACTGTGGACAAAGCCTGCAGAGCTTGGACTCCGGCATTTCAAGTCAGAGTAAGGTCACCCCGTGAATAGGGAGGGGAGGATTTACTCCCAGGCAGTTTTACCCAAGGCACTTAAAAGCACAGGTTAGAGGCCAAGGATTTGCTTCCAAACTGCATCTGAGAACAGAGAAAGCCCTCGGCCACCTGCACCCCTCCATGCAGACAAGAGGGGGCGGTGTATGGAGAGTTCAGAGGATCCTGTCCCGGCTAGTCTTCTCATCTATAATTGGAGAACTTGACCTCATCCAGCCCCAGATCCCAGAAGCATCACCTCTACCATGGGGGTCTGTCCTGCTGCCACCAGGGGAACTGTGAGACTGATAGGAGACAATGAACATGGAGGGCTCTGTGAACGAGGTCACCCAGGGCAGCTGGTGGCAGAGTCAGGTGAGAACAAACACCCTCCAGCCAGGGATGCAGCGTAGATGGGACCCTGACTCTCAAAACCCCTCTTTGGGCATCAGAAGGACAGAATGAACTCTTCCTGCTGAGGTCAGGAGCAGGGGGTGGCGGGAGCTTTGCCTTCTCTTCTGAAGATAGTTCCTGTGGCTTCCAGCCTCTGACCCTGCAGAGCTCACAGCTTTTCTAAGGACTGTCTCATTTTAAACTCATCAAAACCAAGTTTGTAAAAAAAAAACTAAATGTGGCCCTAGAGAAAAAAATTGCTACATAGGTTTTAAACTCTTTCTTCCTTTAACTGTATTCAGTTAACCCAAAGCACAACCCACAGCTGGAGAGGTGCAGATGTTTTATAAATAGCCTGTTGTATCAAATGTCCCCTCACTGGGCACACGTGCACACATACACAAACAGAGCACAGGGAGAGGGGCTGTCCACCAATCCATCTGCTCCCTGAATAGGGTCTCCAGCTGTGACATGAGCCAGGCAGAGTTGCTACCAAGACAACAGCTTCCCTCTGACACCCCGATGTGGGCTGATACTCTCCAGCCCAGGTAGCTGGATAAGGGCCCAGCGGATGTCCACAGGCTCCTTGGCTGGGACCCTCCCACCTGGGGCAGGCACCTTGGGGATTTGCCTCCCAGAGACTTCCAAACACAGTGCTCTGCTCCATCCAGCTCATCGGGTCTCCTCCAGCTGCCTTTGGGACACCATGCCCTGGTAGGCACCAGGTCAAGGTTAGTGTCAAGACTCACCTGAGTCCCCCTGCTGAGGCTGGAGAGCCTGTCCCCTCAGTTCCTGGCATTCACCATGGTGGTCAGAGAGCTGGCTGATGCCCCACTGAGACCCAGGCAGCCCCTCCGAGCTTGTCTCCACAGCCAGCCAAATCCAGACGGAGTCATAGAAAGAGGGTGCAAGGCCACAGGGTCACTTGTGTGACTTGTCTCAGGACAAGGGCCACAGGGTCACTTCTGCAGGACCACCAGGTCAGGAGGCAAGACTCAACCTGGTGGCGGAGGGAGAGGGGGTCTGCACCTGGGACTCTCTGTCTTGATGCGTCGCCTGCGTCAGCCTCAAGCAGCAATCCAGAGATGTTCTGAGGAGGCACCGGCAGCTCTGCTAGGTACTGACCAAGTGGGAACTGAGCTGCTCCAGCCGCGCGTCTTTATAAAAAGTTTTTGCTGCAACTGCGGAGGCTCTGCTGGCGGGATCTGGAACATGCACACCCTCTTGTGGCCACTCCCAGAATTACAGCCCCTCACAGGACTGCGCCAGCCGACCGCAGCTGAGAAGCCAGCTTTGGCCTTGGGACTCCAGCGCCTGAAGAGCCGGCTCAAAATACTTTTTGGACAGCTTCTAGAAGGATTGCAGCTAGATCTGGCTTATGAGCCACACAAGGAAACCAGTCTTGCAAATTTATTTATAGGACCGAGTTGGCATTGCTCAATTCATTCAATAAATTTGGCATAGAATTGTTTTATGTATTTTCCTGAATCACACCCACGGCGCAAGGACACAGATGGGCCACTCTGGGGTTGTTCAGAAGAAGGCCTCAGGGGCTCTGAAGTAACATCCCCGAATCAAGCTCAACACGATTCAGCAACAAGGTCAGTGTTCATAGAGCATCAACTGCGCCAGGGCTGGAGAATCCAGGACCCCATGAGACACCCTGGCTGTTGGAAAGGGGTTGAAATCTGGTATGGGAGATGGAACGGGGCACAAAAGCCATAAGCCTAAGTACAAACAGTTACATTTACAAAAGGAGATTCAGCCAATGCTCTGGGAGCAATAACATTCAGAGGAGGTGGCCAAAGTGGGAAAGATGTCAGAGAAATCCCCAAAACAGTGAGCCATGGTGGCATGGCCAGTCCCATGGATGGATGTCAGAGGACTGAACACAGAAGGTAACTTCCATAAATGATTTCCTGTTTGTCGGTTAAAAAATTCAGCCTCCAGCTGGGGACCGTGGCCCCACACCTGTAATCCCAGCAACTCAGGAGGCTGAGGCAGGAGGATTGCAAGTTCAAGGTGAGCCTCAGCAACTTAGCAAGGCCCTAAGCAGTTTAGTGAGACCCTGTCTCAAAAATTAAAAAGGGCTGAGGATGTGGCTCAGGGGTTGAGTACCCCTGGGTTAAGTTCCCAGAACCCCCTCCTCCCAAAAATTCAGCCTTCACGCTTCGGGGTCAGCTTTCGAACATGAGGAGGTTTTGCCAAGGCTCAGCTCCGCCTAGAGTGCAGCTGCCAACCCATGCTGAGTCGATAATAATAAGAGGGGAAGGAGAAAGAGGGGAAGGGTGGAGAGCAGGCGGAGAAAACGCTTCATAGCCTATATTACGTGCTGGGCAATTCCAAGTGCTTTTCCTATGTTAACTCATTTAACCTGTGCAGTTGTCCCTCAGCAACCACTGGGACTGGTTCCACGTCCAAAATTCTCGCTTCCAAAGTCTTTCGAAAAAGACGGCTTAGTGTTTGCCTAAAATGTATGTGTACTCTCCCTTATACTTTAAATCATGTCTATATTACTATAATACCTAATGCCGTATAACTGCTAGGTGACTAGTTGTTATACCGTATTGTTTAGGGAATATGGCAAGAAAAAAAAGTCTGTACAAGTTCAGTAGAGACACGGGGCTTTTTAAAAAATACTGTTGATCTACGGGTGGTTTGAATCCACTGGAGGGCCATCAGCACGGCAGTCCTGTGAGGTAGGTGCTACTGTTGTGACCACTTTACACAGACAAATCAAGTAACTTGTCCCAGATCACACAGCCTGTAGTGGCAGAGCTAAAACCAAGCCTTGGGCAGTTGGACTCCAGAGCCTGTAACCGCGCCCTGTACCATCTCTCACCAAAGGAATGCTTCTGCCACCTGTCAATTCACAACATTCCCAGGAGTGAATGGAATCTTAGAAACAGCCAGGAGTGTGCTCAGAACATGATCCCAGAGCTCTTCCTGGCAGAGAAGCAGGCACTAGAAAGAGTTGCACTGGCTTGATGCTGTGGCTTCAATTTGTCCCCCTTAATTCATGTGTCGGAAACTTGGTCCCCAGAGCAGCAGTGCTGGGAGATGGGGCCTCACAAGAAGGTGGTGTGATATAAGCTAAGAGCAGCCATAGAAGACGCCACCATCAAAGGGGCTAGTGATGGTGGTTCTCACTCTGCCATGTGAGCACGCAGAGGGAGCAACACACTAGATGCTGGCACCTTGAAGGTGGACTTCCCAGCTCCAAACTGGGAGGAAGAAAACTTCTGTGTTATACAGTCTCGGGCATTTCTGGTTTGTAGCGTAAATGGACTAAGACAGAGAGACCCTGCTCAAAACTCACTTTACCTAAAACAGACTGTTTTCCCACATGGCCACACTGGTGTGCCCTTCACCAGTTGGGGAAGGAGGAGGAGGAGGAGAGAACAGAGACCCCAACACAGCCCAAGCTATTGGCTGAACCTCTGTCACCATGGATAATTGATGATCCGACTGGGAAAGGGTCTAGTTTCCTGCATAAGATCCAGAAATAGGCATAGAACCATTAAACTGCACTGCAGGAGGGGTGAAATCTGTACTTTAAATCCAGGGACTGTGGGGCGCCTTTTCCCTCCCTTGTTTCAGGTTTATTTCACTCCTCGTAAGGATAAGGTGTGTCCATATTGATGCTTGCAACTAGTTCCTCCTTTATTTCTTTCTTTTGGCTGAGCATTAATGTCTATTTATCTGCAAACACCACACTTATTTATGCCCTCTCCTGTTGATAGGCATCTGGGCTGTTTCTAGTCTTTGTCTAGAATGAAGTGGGGGAAAGAGAAAGGGGACATTTGACGATAGTGCAGGACAGTGTGCCCCAGAGGACAGACATCCCAGGGGTGAGAGGCCTTTGGACAACTCTTAGCTCATACTATGCTGTCTTTGCACCTAAAATCAGAATGGTCTAAGAGTGGTTTGCTTCATTTTGATCACAGATGGCATCTGTCCTTGACATTGTCCCTCAGAAGGTGTTAGGAAATGTGACAGCATTGATGGAGGGGTGACTAGACTTCTGAAGGAGCTGTATCCTTGAAAATGCAGGCAACAGAATCTGAGCACTTAACATGGAGAAACCACACTTGGCATAACCAAGAGCTCTCCCCAGTGCCCACATCTGTCCTGTGATCCACGTGGGACACGGAAGCGCAGGGACCACATCAGAGCATAGCGCATGTACCCAGGTGTTTCCTGCTTTCTTTAACTGTACCACCCCTGAGTGTGCCCCTGTCACCTCCTGTGTCCAGCCCTGCAGTGAGCTCACAGCCCATGGTAAGCCACCATTTTCTAGCAGGGTGTGCGGACAGTGGTCCTCAGAGGTGCTTATGGAGAGAAGCCCAGATTCCAAGCCAAGGAGCCCACTCCTGACTCCCAGCTCAGGGGATGGGGGAAGTCACAGGACCTCCCTGAACCTGAGCTTCCTCCTCTGGACAGCCAGGTTCCGACTTCCCGGCCTTCCTACCTCAAGGGTGCTTCCCAGGGTCACAGGAGCTTTGAGACACCAATGCTCTTCAGCCATTGCTATTATTTTTCAGAGTTGACAGCCCTGACAAATAGGATGTTAGTCGCTATGTAGGTCTCTCCAGGGGCCAGCTGCTGACAGCTGGCGCTGAGTCCAACGAGGGGAGGCAAGAGCCTCCGCCTTGTAGAGTTCCCTGCTCCTCACCCATCGTGGAATCTGCCCAACCATCTGCTCCGTCTCCCTGTGCTCGGCTCGTTTTAATTCATTTCCCAGAAGGTGTGGGGATGATGAATTATATGAGACAGCCCAGGATTTCTGACATTGGCTCAGGGTCATAGGCAGTAAAACAGATGAGCCTCCTCCCTGACATGTGCATGGACCAGAGACCCAAGAGCAGGACCTGGCCAGAGCTCCTTATATTGTCAAACTCAGTGACCCAGGGTACCCTCAAAGGAGATCTGTCTTGGAGCTGAGATGCTCTAAATTTTGCTTGGGAATTAGATGATGAAATTATTTTAAAGTGAGCAATTTGTAGTTGGTAGCCAAACAAGTTCATTCAAGTGAATCATAAGGAACTTCTCAAAACAGGGTGAAATTTTGGGCCAAAACTCTTCAGAAGATATTTTAGTGGGATAAATGTAAAACAGACACCAATGTTGGAACAGTGCATCTTCCCATATACAGGATGTAGGATGCCAGGCTGCTCAGAGGACATAAGAAAAAGCCTCACATGTTATATGACTTTGAAGTTGATGTAAGTCAGCAAGAGCCAAGGAAATAGCAATTTTAAAACTTAGGCAGCATTCATAGAAACATGATGAGCAGAAAAATGGAGGTTATGAATCCCCCCTGAATTTTGCATTGATGATATTGCACTTGATATGTAGAGTATTCAGCTCTAGGGGCAGCTGGTCAAAGGATTTAGTCATAAGTCAGAGGTTGACTAGGGTGGTGAAAGGTCTAGAAATGGGCAGGAAAGGGCTGTATTCAGGGTTTGTGGTCTGAGTTTGCAGGCATGTGAAGGTGTTAGGTGTCTTCTGCACCATCATGGAAAAAGAGGCAGAATGCCCTCCATGGGTAGAAGCTCTGATCACCACTGAGCCTCCAGACCTGGGTGCCTGGCTGATGACTGGGGAATTCCCCCACTGCCATCCTTCTTACCAGAGCCTGGGACTCCTCAGTGGAAGAAGCACCTCACAGAGGTCTCCCGCATTGGGTGACTGGCTGGACCCGCACCCTCTGATGTCTCTCCCACGTCTGAGTGGGCCCCTGCAAGACACATACATATATATGTATATCTTCTGCAAGAAACTTGTTCCACAGTGATAAGAAGCAACTTAGAACTGATTCTACTACCTAACTTGCTCTGGTTGGGGCAGAGAAAGAACATTCCATGAATGCTTTTAATAGTAAGAACTAAGAACAGGAAATATTATAGCCAATGACCATAATAAGTAAGAATAACGAAGATATTTCAGCTACGCATTATGCCAGGAAGAGAGAAAAGCAAAAAAAGGAAGTTGAGAAAGGACAATTGAGATAAAAGACAGAAAAATAATGCAAATGAGTGGGGAAAAAAGGAGGCATGGCGGAGAGAGGAGATGGAGGAAGAGGCAGGACTCAGGATATAAAGGGAT